GTACAAAAAAATAATAATGCATATAGCAGTTATTCAATTACATTCCGCTGCGTATCCTAATTCTCCGCCCCACAAAACCCTATAAGCACCGTTTTCGTAGGACAACATGCTGGGATTAGAGATTAATGAGGGGGACTACATAAGCTACTGTTGCCGACCTAATTGTGATAAACTTGTAGACTGGATGGAATTCGAACCCATACCAGCAAGGGAAAGGCTTCAGTAGAGCCAACACTCTAGCCAACTTAGCTATGAGGGCCTCATAGGGAGCTGTGAGTCGATATACCCGCCCAGCCTTCTGCAACGTATGGAATCTACCATAAGTGTTCACAGAGGACTTCCTACGCAATCAATCCAGAATCCACCAAATGACTACCGGGCAAACTTAATTAGTAAGTAGTTTTCGCAGATTTGCATAATTTATTTGACTCACGTGTGAAAAAACTTGGCGGTCTCAGTAGAATACGAACCCACGCCAGCAATATTAAATGTAGTATTCATATCTGCCAACACTCCTTACTAATTAAGTGTATTTTGGGTTAATAGCAAACTGCTGGATACTTTTGACTGCTGCGAGACAAATCCCCCTCTTGAACGTTTATGTGGTCATGTTTTTCCTGCAATTCAAGCAGTGCTGTGGACAAATACCTTGAGACTAAGTATCGCTTGCTAACTCCTCATAAAATAAAAATAGCGTTTGTTTTAGATGGCCAAATTAAAACAGCTTAAATTATTTGCAGCTAAAATAAATTCAACTACCCCTTATTTAAATGACTTTTTTAAAACCTTGGGCCAATGTCAAATGACCCCAGTGACCACAAAGGTACTCTGAATCGTATGAAATTTGCTCATGACAACCTCTTTTCCTCGAGGAGGACAGTATACGCTGAATGGCTTATATGTAACCTCATATCCTTGTTTACTTTGTATGACTACCTACTTATTTCGTAACAGCAAAAATGTTTTGTTTCTTTTTTTCGTGAGCATTGGTTGCACTATTGTCACCCCCCACACACGCATTTTCAACTGTACTCTTTAGGTTAAACAGCAGAAGCTCATACACCATCCGCCCTGGGTGCTGAAACTCATCCAGATGTACGAGACGCAGCGCGTGCGTCATGGTTTCATGGCACTGGGTCCCTCCGGCGCCGGCAAGACGCGTTGTATCAACGTCCTGCTCGCGGCTATGACTGAGGCGGAGGAACCGCACAAGGAGGTGCGCATGAATCCAAAGGCCATCACGGCGCCACAGATGTTTGGTCGACTGGATGTGGCCACCAATGACTGGACGGATGGCATCTTCTCCGCCCTC